CAATTTTTTGACTTACTACGCATGCGCTGCATTTAACTGGGTTCTTTCGGTAAGAAAGAAAAAGCTGAGAATTGCTGGGTTCTTTGCATCGTAGCCTTTTCTAACATATCTTTGTAATATAAGACTAAAGCCATCAATACACTGCGTTCAATTATAGAGAAAAATAGCACAGATTCTGCGGGTGTTGAGTAAATAAAATGATCGCTCTATTGACGGCATGTTCGTTTTTTGCAATCCCTGTGCGCGCGCTGAATTGCATTAGCAAAAGCGCGCGCGAAAACTGTGTTGTCAGTAATGTGAATAGCAAGGCCACAATTAACTTTGCCTCTCCGACTGAGTTAACATGATGCGTACACAAACGCTGGAAAATTGAAAACCGACTCCAAAGTGAGCAAGATACATTTGTTGTGGATTTTAAGTGCACCGACTGACCTAAGGTCTGTAGTAAACGAACCTTCCATTTAATTTCACGCTACAGAGAAAATGCCAGCACAACTTAATTTGATATTTACCGAGTAGATTTGCTCATTGACGTTGTTAAAACATGTCAAGTTCTTGCAAGATTTTCTAGTCTCAATAATTTTTTGTTTTTTCACTTGAGTTGTACCGATAGTTTTCATTTGAAAGCTCAGCACTCGATTACACCTTGTGAATGTATTCTTTATCACATGATCTGACAGGGTGGGACACAAAGGGCTTTTAATTCCTATGGCAAAACAATGATTTTCTTATATTCTGTTTACCTTAGGCGAGACAGTGGTTACTAATGCCAAACACATGAGTGGAGCCTGGAAATCAGGAGGTTCTCAGTCTGTGAAGCCTGGGACTAGAGTAGCTGATTATGTCAAGGCTGGCGGTGAGAACTACAGCTTGCTGTCTGACAACTGTCACCATGGCTCCAAGAGAATGATGGATGTCGGGAAGGAAAATTGAATTAAACCTCGTGTACTTCAATCTTTTTAAATTCATTGTTCGCTTTTAAGCTGCTTTAACTCTACATTTAACGAATAAATTGGCATAGAATCAGAGAAATTAGACTAGAGTTGTTGTTTTTAACTCACTTGCACACGAGAGTGATTAGTGATGCGGGTGAACCATGGTGAACTTTAAAACCTGTGATTATAACCACGACTCTTTTACTGTTGCAAGTCAATCTCTAGTCATGTACCTGGTCAGTGGTGGGATTGGCAGTATAATTAGAATAAATTACAAGTTATAGACTTTCTTGCAACGCGGTATTGTAATATGCAGTCCTAAGAGAATTAAATAAAGTTGTTGTTATTGTTGTTTTGCTGTGAGTAACCTACATGTATGTCACAGATTACCCATCTGTCCACAACATTCCTGTCTTCCCTTAAATTAAGTCATAAGAGATTTACGGAAATGGGGCCTCGATGTCTTGCAGTTCTTAGAGGGAGGGGGAAGGGCGACAACATGCGGTGAGGCAGTGAGGGTTGACAGTCTTGACACCCTTACCCCTCCCTTGAAGATATTATGTTCCATATATCTAACTTAAAAGATTATTAATAAATATTTGAAGTGAATCATATGCTTGAAAGTTAATTAGATCCTGCTTTTCAGGTGTGGAACTCAATATTATTGCATACAGAAAGTCCTCCAGATATCTCGAGCCCAGATCTCCCACGGCCACAAACGGAGTAGTGGGATTTGCGCTACTATGTACGAAAGAAAATAGTAACTTTGTTATCTCCTTTCTATATGCGTTAACAAAAGTACCTTTACTCAGCCAACATGGAGGTCATTTGATTAGCTGTGACCGCTGATTGCTAATCGTCCGAGTCACTTTGAAGAAAATCTTTGAATTTATCCACATTATCGGAGTCTGAATTTTCACCATCGGCGGAATTCCCGTCCACATCACATTTCGAAGTCGTCCGGACTTTGGACGATCTTTTTCGTTTTCGTCGTTTCCGCTTCGTGCTCGTGTCTTTTCCATCTGCAACTGACACTCCGCTTTCAGCGCTTTTGTTTTGTGACACTAGCTGCCTAGGATGACATCGTTTGCAGATGTTCAACTGTGAGTGATCCCCTAAAGCTACCATCCATGGCGTTGATTTTTATTTCTTTTCCATGCAAAGAATGGGAACAGTTACTGCCCTCAGCCGCATCGCCTTCCAACAGCGGAGTCTGTGATTCTGGTGGTTTCGTGGCATCCATGACAAAATTAAATGCGCTTCCAAGTTTTCTGACATTGTTGTCGTAGATATATTCTCGTAACAGGCTCATGCTTTACCCACTATGTTTTCAAATGCCGATTTCGACATTTTCTTCACAAATAATTGACCGTAAACGCCACAGGAATTTTGTGTTTTGAACTATAAACGTGGGCCGGTGAATAGGTTGGTTTCACTTCGTATATGACTTACTAAAAATAGAAAATAGTGCGCATATTTAAAATTTGTGATGCGTGACAATTACAGAGACATCACAAGAAACTAATTTTCATATTCATATGATGCAAACTGCGACAGATCGAGCAAAATACGAATTGAAAGATGTTCAGTGGACATAAATGTACCAGGTTAGCTTTTCCCGTGACGCTAAAAACACAGAAAGATAAAACAGAAGGCTGAAGGATAAGAGGACATAATTGAACATGCTTTAGCTGTAAAGGTTTAATTTTCTTTTCTTCTCTCGGTCAAATAAGAGTTCCGGGAAGCCATGAAATAATAATTAGGTTCTGAAGGTATATGCTGGTTGATACAACATTGCTGTTGGTACCCTGTTCTGATATCAAGATAACGAAATTTTCTCTTCAAAGTGCAGCGAGAATGGGACTGATGTATCTGAAGTTCCTTTACAAAAAACACTCCAGGATTTGAATCTCACTTGACGAATAAGTATATTTGATTTATTTAATTCTTACAATGCATTTCCCTCCAAACTGGGAAATAACAGATTATAACTCGTTGAACACTTAAGTCTATTTTTTTTCTTACAACTGGTCTTCGACAGAATTAAAATCTAGGGTCTCTCCTCCGACTTCTGAAATGTCTGTACTCTTATTTAATTCTGTTAATAGAAAATGCAGCCTCTTTGAGCCCAAGCACTTTCTTTCCAAGAAATGTTCCTTTTCAGCTATTGTTTTAGCCTTCTGTATCTTCATTTCTGCCACCATTTGGTGCCCTCCTTCAAAGAAATGCAAAAACGCTTCAGCTAGGTAAAATTGACATCTCATAGGGGGTAAAATGCTGCTGAAAAGTCTTTCTGTTGATGACAAGTTTTGTCGCACTTCCGGTAAATTTCTTTCAGTTTCAGTTTGTCTTTCCCAAAGTCGCATCTGAACAGCTGCTTTTCCCAAATAGCAGCATCTCTGAATAATTTCCCGCTTCTCTACTAACGGTTCTTTGTTGCTAAATTTCAGAGCTTTTTCATAATAACTCAGTACAACTTCGTCGGGATTTCGGTTCGAAACCGACGTATTAAAACCATCTTCGTGCTCCTTTTGATCTGTAGGGAAGTCCACTGAATATTCTAAGCAGTGTTCCATAATTTTAGCAGTTTTCGCGTAAAGCCTGGATTTTTGAGTGTCTTCAGACAGGCTCTCTTCTAATTCCCTTAAACAGTCTAATGCTGACAAATATTTTCTTTCTTTCGTATAAAACTCTGCAAAAACAAACTGTGTTTCAATTAACAAGGCATTGTATTTCCCACTGTCTTTATTTTCAGCAAGGGCGCTACTCATTGCTCGGATCACCTCAGCCAATTTAAGGATGCTTTCATGAAGATTCATGCTTTCATGAAGATTTCTTGCCTCTTCCAAAAGCTTTCTCAGTGACTCAAAATCATCCAGATCTTGAGCTTTAGATAGTAAGGACGAGATAACTATTCCTAGCCACTGATCAATGTTGTTTTGCAAGCTTTCTGAGTCCGTGAAATCAGACAGGTTTAAAGGAAATCGCCATTTTGTCTTGATTTCCCCCGGCTCTGAGTTCGTCTTTGTGGAGAATCTTTTCCCGCTGTTTTTCTCACTGGGTGAGCGTTTCTTCGTCTTTCTTTTGAACAACCCTGTCGGAGTTATGTCACCATCAGCTTTGGCATAATCTGAAGGTGACGTCGAATCGAACAGTTCCTCTTTCGCTTTTGGTTCCGTTGAGTTTTCTTTACTGGTCATTGGGTTTTGTGAATTCTGACTCGTACACGGAGATGATGGCATCAAATCCTATAGATTCTGTGTAAGTTCCCTTGGCTCTGAAATCAGAGCCAGCATTTCAGTCAGGGGTGGGACAGAACTCTCGGCATTGTTTACATCGACCACTGGGTCTTGTGAGTGAAACTGCTCATCTGTGCCTGTTAACCCGTGGTTAAGGCTTTCGTTGTTCGTGTCATCCATAGAGTAACTTGCCAATAAATGACAGACACTTTGTCTGGTGGTTCTTAAGTTGATAGCGGCCAAGAAAGGGAAGCTGTATCGTTCGGAGCCGAAAGCAAAGCGACAGGTATATTTTGCAGGTTGTAGGTTGAAATTTAATTTTAACTGGAAAACCGCTGGCACGTAAAAGAAACGTACAGGTGGTAGACTTACCGTGACTGTTACATGA